TGACCTGTTTATATAACCTGCTTAATAACACCAACGCACTGGAACAATTGAATCATGCAATAAGGTCGTTGCAATGGCCACAAGCACTGGGCATTAGTGAAAGGGATTCAGCAAAGACTGACCGTCACGTCCAACATTGTCGGCTCTGAATGGCACAATGGATGCTCTACTGGGTTAATGATCATTTGGCGGTGGAAAGAGTCCATTGTATGGCATCCGAGCTGGCGCACAGGCTCCCAGGCACACAGGCTCTCAGAATCCCAGGCACACAGGCTCTCAGAATCTCAGGCTGCCAGGATCCCAGGCTCCCAGCCCCACAGGCTCTTAGAATCCCAGGCTACCAGGCACACAGCCTCCCAGGCAAACATGTCCTCTACATCCCAGGCTCCCAGGCACACAGGCTCTCAGAATCCAAGGTTCCCAGGCACACACGCTCCCAGGCACACATGCTCTGAGAAAGCCACGCTGCCAGGTTCCCAGGCTCTCAGGTTCCCAGGCGCACAGGCTCCCAGGCACACAGGCTCTCAGAATCCCAGGCTGTCAGGCACACAGGCTCCCAGGCACACATGCTCTCAGAATCCCAGGCTACCAGGCACACAGGCTCCCAGGCACACATGCCCTCAGCATCCCAGGCTCCCAGGTTCCCAGGCTCTCAGAATCCCAGGCTCCTAGGCACACAGGCTCTCAGAATCCCAGGCTGCCAGGTTCCCAGGCTTCCAGGTTCTCAGGCTCCCAGCCCCACAGGCTCTCAGAATCCCAGGCTCCCAGGCACACAGGCTCTCAGAATCCCAGGCTGCCAGGTTCCCAGGCTCCCAGGCACACAGGCTCCCAGGAACACATGCACTTAGAATCCCAGGCTTCCAGGCGCACAGGCTCCCAGGCACACATGCTCTCAGAATCCCAGGCTCCCAGGCACACATGCTCTCAGCATCCCAGGCTGCCAGGCACACAGGCTCCCAGGCACACATGCCCTCAGCATCCCAGGCTCCCAGCTTCCCAGGCTCTTCGAATCCCAGGCTCCCGGGCACTCAGGCTCTCAGAATCCCAGGCTCCCAGAATCCCAGGTTCCACGGCTCTCAAAATCCCAGGCTCCCAGGCACACAGGCTCCCAGGTTCCCAGGCTCTCAGAATCCCAGGCCCCCAGGTACACAAGCTCTTAGAATCCCAGGCTGCCAGGCACACAGGCTCCCAGGCACACATGCTTCCAGGTTCCCAGGCTCCCAGGTTCCCAGGCTCTTAGCATCCCAGGCTCCCAGGCACACAGACTCCCAGGAACACATGCTCTTAGAATCCCAGGCTTCCAGGCACACAGGCTCTCAGAATCCCATGCTCCCAGGCACACAAGCTCTTAGAAAGCCAGGCTGCCAGGTCCCCAGGCTCCCAGGTTCCCAGGCTCTCAGAATACCAGGCTCCCAGGCACACATGCTCTCAGAAACATAGGCTCCCACGTTCCCAGGCTCCCAGGTAAACATGCTCTCAGACACCCAGGCTGCCAGGTCCCCAAGCTCCCAGATTCCCAAGCTCTCTGAATCCCAGGCTCCCAGCTTTCAGAAACCCATGCTCCCAGAATCCCAGGTTCCCAGGCTCCCACGTTCCCAGGCTCCCATGTTCCCAGGTTCCCAGGCTCCCACGCACACAGGCTTTTAGAATCCTAGGCTTCCAGGCACACAGGCTCTCAGACACACAGGGTCCCATGCACACAGGTCGCCCATGGCTGTGGTCCAAGCCAGGCCCCAAACCGCCAGATAAATATGCTCCTACATCTGATTGACTTAGCCGAATGCTAGTTTTAGCTTTGTTTACATTTCATGCGTTTGCTGGAGCCTACCGCTTGCAAAGACGTAGCCCCCAGTATTGCACATTGCATTACATTATCCATGAAAAGATTATAAAACTTCAATTCACTATAAGCTCAGCAAATTGCAAGGGTAAAGGGCTCATCTGGACGCAGTTTGCATGCCGTGCTGCCGGCTTGCGCAAGGAATCTCGGCGCGCGCTCCACGCCCGCGCGCGCCGCGAGCACGAGGATAAACTACAGTAAAATGTCTTTTGATTCGTCCAAAAATATGTTGGTATGTGTTGGTATGTGTGCCCGGAAAGCTGTGCCGGACGGTCGACCGTCCGGCACACCGTCCGCCATGGACGGTCCCACCGTCCGCCAGGGGGGGTATATGAACCACACATCCCCGCGGCTGCGTTCATCCGTTGTTGGTTTTCCCCTCGCTCGGGGCCCCCCTTTTTGAACTGTGCTTCGACCTCGGCTTACGTGATGTTGCGAAACTTAATGTCGTAGTGTACGGCAACCCGTAATCCGACTTTGGCCTCCGCGCCCTCCCCCTCCTCGATGTCATAGTACCTGGGTGGTATGGGGGTTGGGGTTGGGGCTGGGGTTGAGTGGAGGGTGAGTGGGTGGGAGGATGGGTGAGTGAAAGGATGATGATGATGATGATGATGAAAATCCAGCGCACGCATGACCTTGACCTAGCAAGACAGGACAAACAGACAAACGAACAGAAGACTAACAGACAGGCGGAACTCTCAATCTAATCTACTGCAAATGAATTTCGGGCGCGCACCCGGGCAATTACGACACTCCATGCAACCGTCACGACATCGGCACCAACGACCACACCGTACCGTGTCGTACACTGTTGTTATACCTACTTCAGGCCCAAGGGTCCGTCCTTGTACTCCTCCTCCGGGATCTTCCGCCGGCGACGTGCAAGCTCCTGTTGCCGCAGGGGGGGGGAGGTGAGGGGCTGAGGACCGCTCCCGGCGGAGATGATGGGTCGGAGACGAACTCCACGAAGGAGGAAGGCTTTTTACGGAAAAAGTGAAAACTTAAGTAAAATAAAAAACCATGTTAAATGGAGTCATCGCGCATTCCACATAGGTTTTGATTCCTCTTGTTCCCAATCGAGTTGTCTTTCCTCAAGGACTCCCCCCTCCTCTATCTCCCCGTCCATACTGTAGAGTACATGCGCCGTGTGCATTTTCTGGAGGTTGCATTGCATTACCTTTTTGTAGTTGAGTGGATCGCCCGTTCCCAGGGCGCTGGCGGGAGGTGCCTCCAGGGCGCCTGTGATGGGTGCCGGGTGATGTGTCGGTTTGGTGCCGGGTTTGCGTTGATGTGGGAAGGTGTGTGTGTGTGGAAGAGGTGAGGTGTCGTGAGGGGGCTTCGGCTGACTAGGTAGGGCATGAGAGTTGGATTTGGGCGGTAGCGTCCCCCTGGTCCGGCGCATGCCTCGCGCATTCCGGATTCCAATAATCACACATATCAATTGGTAGATGAAAGCTCACGAACACACAGAGACACACACACACAGAGTAAAGCTCGCACAGGTGCGGCTGCCGTACTGGTAACGGTAGGAGGAAGGTATACTGCAGTCAGGTAGATATGCTCAGTATTTAGGCCCAGCTGCCGACCCATGCGAAGGGATAATACTTATGTAGCCTTACCTGCGACGGAGATGCCAACGATGCCGGCAAGGACACCGCGGCGAGACGCCTCCTCTCGCGAAGTGCTGCCAGAACCATTAGTGTGGGTTGCTGCGACGACCAAACCTGGAGCATTGGGCGCGTTGGAAGGGTAAAACGAAACCTCTGCACGCGAAGCCTTAAATGCAAAAGCTCCAATACTGCAACGATGGTGCAAGCATAAGGTCGGGTTACATCCTTACGTGAGCGATGGCGTCCCCCGAAGATAGGCGTGGTCTGCTTGCTACATGTACTTTGAAGGGTAAGATAGCTCATGTTAGAGACGCTCCTGAAAGACCTCCTTGTATGAGCGGGGTAACAGCGCAGCAAGAGAATAATCGCAACCCAAGTCTGGATAGGGTGCCGCACAGCACTTCCTAATTCCCAATGCACGAAGGTCTGATGGCGCTGGAGCTCATCGTACTTGCTCTGTCTAGCTCAGGGATCTGCCGTACCGATTTGAAAGGAATTCCCAGCAAGGTTAGGGGCTAAATCTTTTAGGGTCTTCTCGTTTGGATAACAACAAAATAACCTAAAGCTTACGTCCGGCTCGAAGGAGGATAGGAGCCATACTTTGTTGGCATTATTTACTGTTACTTTTGGTTATCAATGTAAAAACATATCCATTCTATGCTTACATCGAACAAGTAGGCATGTCTTTGGTTACCTTTTTGAACCCGACATGAGATGCTAGTTTGAACGCATCGGGTGGCGCAGCCTGTGGCGTCAGGCGCGCTTTCCCAGTACCATACTAGCGACAAAAGGTCGCAAACTGTATGGGTATCTGTGGAAGCCGTACAGTTGGCCCAGAAGGCAGTTCCGCGGCCACTGACATACATGGTGGACCGACGCCAGCCACCGCAGCCTTGCTGCCTGCGAAGCAAGTCACCGCTAAGGCCACAGCAGCAACTGGGACAGACCAGCAGCCTCTGCTTGGCGCACATACGGGCGTCCTCGATGGCAGCTTGACCACAACGCCCGTACAGGACTTTGTGGAGCAAGACACTACGTCCATGGAGCTTCACACATCAGCGCACGCGAACGGCGCAGGTGGCCCGGGAACGGGAGCGGGAGGGGGAGTTGCGTTGCGCTTCTTCAAGCGCACGTCGCAGGCACAGGCCTCAGCACAGCCGCGACCGGGGCCCGGCTCCAGCGCGGCACCCTCCGATGCCGCCATGTTCGCCGGCCGTACTGGCGGCCTCGGCGCTGTGGGCCCCCAGGCAAACGGCACCCCAAATATTGCCACCACCCCTCCACAAGCAGCTGCAGCCGCGGCAGCGGCTGCAGCTGCTGCAGCCGCCACTGCTACCGCCACTGCTGCCACCGCCGCTACCGCAGCAGCAGTCGCGCCCAACGGCGTCGTTTACGGCTCTGCGGGCGCAAACGGCTTAGCGGCGGTGTCAGGTCCCGGTGGCGTACCTGCGTGGCGACCTTACCCGCCTGTGGTACCTCGGTGTGAAGCCGTTGCTCAGACAGACGCCTCTCTGCTGTATCCGTTGCTCCGAGACCCCGGGCCCACAGTACCCGTGCGCTGGAGGAAGGGCGAGGGCATTGGCTCGGGCTCCTTTGGACAGGTGGGCTGGATGAGGAATGCACGGCGCCGGGAAGGAAGCTGGGAAAGGGCGGAAACGGGAAAAAGGGGGACGCAGGACCCGGCGGACCAAGCTTAAAAACCAGATAAGGAGGCGATTTAGGGAGTTGAGGGAGACTGGGGAATGATGATATGATGATGATCTTTTCCGGAGGATGTTTTCCCACACGCATCTCGCCCCCGCCCTCACCAACTGGGAGTTTCAACGCGCGCACCGATACCAACATAATACCGGTGACCGGGGTTCCAGACCACAGGGCCACACAGAGCCGGAAGTCACCATCGTTCCCACGAGGGGTCACACGGCACGAAACGAAACGAGGCAAAGCGAAACGAAACGAAACGACGGGCGTTTATATCGTAGGCTCCAGGTGCGAGTGTAACTCAAAAGCATCCTCCCGAGCACCCCGTCGCTCACACCCCGCAAGGGAACTTAGTCGTCCGAAGACAGCGCAATACAGTATCCTCCCGACCCCTGGGTCCCCAGGCTTGGGCCGTACCTAAGAGTCGCCGGCTTTCCTTCCTCTGCCCTCCCCTCCCCCCACCTCGAAAAGCCCGCTACCTCCTCCCACTTCCGCGCCTATGCAGGTCTACCTCGCCCTAAATTGCGATACGGGGGAATTGCTCGCAGTCAAGGAAGTGCCCGCGGGACTGGCGGACTTGGGGGCCACCGGAGGAGGTGGAGGCGGCCGAGGTGGCGGGGGCGCGGCGGAGGCCGTGGCGCAGCTCGAACGCGAGGTGGCGCTTCTCAGCCAGTTGCGACATCCCAACATTGTGAGATATGTGGGCACGCAGAGGAGCGGCGCGGCGGCGGTGGCCGCGGGAAGCGGCGGCGGCGGGGGGGCCAGCACAGGGCCGCCGCTCTACATCTTTTTGGGTGGGTAAGGGAGCGAAGCGTGGGGTAAAGACGAACCACGGCGGCTGGGTGGGGGAAAGACGAACCACGAACGAGTGAAGCTGCTGTGTGTGGGGGTGGGGGGTGAGAGAGGCTGGATGGGCGAGGGTGGGTACCGTATGGGTACCGGCAGTGAACGGGGGGAAGTGGGTGGGAGCCTTTCGCGGCGGGCTCTGCGAGGAAATGGGGAATGTGGTAGGGGCCGTTATTCCCTTTTCCTTTCCCTCCGTTCTCTCCCTCTCCCTCTTAAAGCGGTTCCCCGCGTGTACCTCGTCCCCCCTCGTCCCCCCTGGTCCCTCCTGCTGTGCTCTGGCGGCTGCTATGACGTTTGCTACGGCTGCGCAAACTGGATGGCGACTACGCTACTACTGCTGTTGGCGGCCGTGGCTGTGGCTGTGGCTGTGGCCATGTCTACGTCGGTCATAACTAAATGACTTGGCGGCGGCTTCTGGGCGGATACGACATATGATGACGTGCTGTCCGCCCTGGTAACGGTGTGATAATTGCGGGTGGCTGCGGCCATGCATGGTGATCGTGGCTTGCTATCCCCATACACACACCCAACCCCAATACCCCGTACCAACGCCCCCGGGCTCCCCCCCCTTTTCCATTCCCACGCGAATAGAGTATGTTCCCGGGGGCTCCCTGTCCTCGCAGCTGTCCCGTTTCGGGCCCCTGCCTGAGCCGTTGGTGGCCCTCTACACTCGCCAGCTGCTGCTGGGACTGGCGTACCTGCATGCGCAGAGGACAGTGCACCGCGACGTGAAGGTGGGGCGGCGGGCCGTGTGCGTTGTGTTTGGGGTATAGAGGTTGTTGTGGGTGTTGTGTCTGAGTGTGTCTGCGTGAGCGGGGAGGTGGGGGTTGTGTTGCAAGTTACAAGCTCCACGCACAAGTGCGGAGGTGTCCGTAAAAGCCTGAGGGGGAGGGGGCCCATGGACATGGGGGTTATGTTGGACTGAGCCGCAAGTGGGAACTGGAGAGGAGGACTGGAGGACGCATGGGCTGCAACTTTACCTTGGTCCAGGGAGGCGATTCACGGGAGGGTTCCGGGGGATCGCGCGGTCTCGTGAAGTGGTGAAAATTGCGGCTGAATGTTGTAAAAGTAGAGGATGGTGGGAAGAATGCGGCCAGGACGAGTGGCAATGTATGTGGCTTTATGTGTGTACGTGGAGGGGAAGGGGAGAGGTAGGGGTAGGTGGGTGAACGGATGGATGGGCTCACTATCTGCCCCCTCACCCCGGGGGCCGGGGGCCCTGCATTTTGCATCTGTTTGCTCCTTCTGCTCCCCGGCCCCGGCCCCGACTTAACACTGCTGACACCTCCCCCCTTTCTCCGCTCGACGTATTGCGCCCGACGTATTGCGCCCGGCCTCCTCCTCCCCCCTTTCCGGCCTCCTTCCCCCACCTTCCGGCGGCCCTGTAGGGCGCCAACTTGTTACTTGAGAAGACTGGTGTGCTCAAACTGGCCGACTTCGGGATGGCCAAACAGCTCATGGAGCAGGTGGGAATTATGGGGGGAAATAATTTCATCCAGAAGTCGTACCACCACAGACTGCCGACGGTTGCGCTACCAACTGCCGGTGGTGGTGGTGGTGGTGGTGGGAAAGGGGTGTGTGTATATAGAGGCCCGGTCATGAAAACTAACCACCTGCGGGGGGCGGGGGGTGAGGTGGGGTGAGGTGAGTGACGAGTGGGGTTGGATCACGCCCTGCTCCTCTTCCTCCTCCACCGCCGCCTCCACTTTCCGGCCCCCGAGCTTCACTCGTTCGTGGTCCGTCTTCCCCCCGCTCTCTTTCCTCCGCCTGGTGCCTGTAGAGGTGCAAATGGTGCACATGTGAAGCTGCGGGTCCAGGACCCCCGCACACAATAACCCCCATAACTCCCCACCCACATCCACATCCACCCCACCCACCTATGTCATGTGGTTGTCCTGCATGTAGTTGGAATGCAGTGCTGGAGTGACATCTCCCCCCTCTTTCCCTCCCGCTCAAATCTTCCCCAGCTTACCTCCTCTTACCCCCCTTCCCCCCCCCACCCCGCCCCTCAGGTGTCCTTCACGCGGTCCTTCAAGGGCAGTGCGTACTGGATGGCCCCCGAGGTCATCAAGCAGCAGGGCTACGGGGTGCAGGCGGATATCTGGTCGGTGGGCTGCACAGTGCTGGAGATGGCGACAGGTGGGGGGGGGACGGGGAGGGGGAGGGGAGGAGCTGCTGCCCGGTGTATGCGACTGGGTGCGGCTGTCGACGTGTCCCTGTGACCCTGAATGATTGGAGCCCTGGATGTGCGCCTGTGCCGGCTGATTAATACGGCCTTTACACCCGTCTACCGGCTGAGGGATTGGATTGCTCCTTTGTGAAAAGCAGGGGGAGGATTGAGGGCCTTCCTTGCCTTTCGGCATCGGGTTCACGTATGAGGGTGTCCTGTGACCTGAACCCCCCCCATCAGCCCACCTCACCTCACCTCACCTCACCTCACCACTCCGTTCATGTTTGAGAATTGCAATGATGTCAAACCGGCTGCGTCCCATCCCACTCTGAATTTTGTCGTTTCCGTTGGTTCCTTGCATAGTATTACCCCCTCTCTTTCCCCTCTTTCCCCCCCTTCCAGGTAAGCCCCCCTGGAGTCAGTGCACCAGCCAGGTGCAGGCCATATTCAAGATCGCGTCCTCCCCCGACCTGCCCGCCATTCCGGAGCACCTCTCACCCCAGGCCTCTGAGTTCATATTGCTGTGCTTGCAGGTGAGCGGGGGTGAGAGGGGGCGGAGAGTGGAAAGGGGGGGGAGAGGGCGGAGAGTCATGTGCAAGAAAGCAAACAGTGGAGGGCGAAGGAGGGCAGAGAGATGGGAAAGGGAATGGGAGGTAGGGCGGAGGTAGGACGTAACTCACTGGCACAGGTTGTTGATTGATGCGCGCACTTGGGAGGCCCAAGGGGTCCCGCCTTTTTTAAGGAAACACGGAAATTCACTGGAGTTTGCATCGCTTCCCCTCTCACCTCCACCCTCATCCACCCACCTTGGAGCTCACACACTAAAAGCCATTTACGTATCCAACCAGTAGCCCAACCGTGAGCCTAACTACCAAAATAACCACCGGACTAAAACTGCCAAACCGCTCCTCCTAACCGCTTTTCATTCCAGCGGGACCCCTCCGCGAGACCCGCCTCGGAGGAGCTCCTCCGACACCCCTTCGTCACCGGACCGCTGGCGACAAACCCCCTTCCGCCAGCTCTTGCCGATCCCCTGGCGTCACTGTACGACGTGTCGTCAGCGCTGCGCGGCATGCCCTCCATCGCCGTCGGCGGTGGCGGCGCCGTACGAGCCAGCGGCACCATGACGCTTTTAGGCCCCGGCGCCGCCGCCGCCGCCGCCGGCGTGGGTCCTGGAAGCAACGTCTCGTTGGCTCTGAACCTCAAGCCGCTACGTCTTGGCGCTCCAGGGCAGGGGGGAGCTGCCGGCGGGGGGACAGCAGCTGCGAGTAGGATTGGCAGCGTCGCCACGACGCCGGCGGCAGCGGCGGCCGCCGCCGGAGCCACTTGGACCCCCTTCGGCGGCCTCATGCTGAGTCCTGCGGGGGTAGCGGCATCCGCCGCCGCTGGTGGCGCAGAATTGCTCGGCGCTGGCGGCGGCGCCCTCAGCGAGGACCACTTGGCCGCCCTGGTGCTGGGTAATAGCGTGCACATCAGTAAGGCGGCCCGGGCAGCTCAGGCTATGGCGGCTGACGAGGAGAGGTACGTGTACGTGCGTCGACATGTATGTTAAGAAGAAATGTAGCGCATGTTAATGTGTTTTCATTGTTTAAAGTGAACGTGGATGTGTGTGGGGGGGGGGAGGGGAAAGGGGACTCACGGGGCGGTGACTTGGCCATCTTGACTGCCACTTGGCTCCACATGTTGCGGTCGTACATTCACACAAGTTACCGTACATTCACCATGTAGCTCCACCCACCAGCCGCCTATGCACCCCCCGAACATCACCTCCCCGTCCTCACCCGTTCCGCCTTTCCCCCTGCCCCCCTCTTCCCCCCCCCCGGCTTCCGGCTCATAGAGAGGCGGATGACGACACTCACATAGACTTCACCAGCTGCCAGCCGCAGCTCTTCCGGGTCCGGGGACTGCTCACCTTGCCGCCGCTGAAGATGCTGCAACACGCGCAACAGCTGCCACCGCTCTCCGTCCACACGCAAACACTGTCAGGGGTCATGAACTGAACATCCATAACCCCTCCTTTCCAAACCTAAAACCAGAGTAAAAAGAAGGCTCATTCAGATTTGGTGTCCTTGTGGCGGCTGCAAGGTAATGAGAGCATAATAATAATAGTTTATTCATGCACATTGGTGGATTTGGTGGATTAATGGATGAGAGCTTCATTCGTCCATATCGATGGCTCGAGTCCCGGGGAACGCTGTATGTTAGGGGGAGGTGATAGCCTGTGGCTCCAACAGTCCTGTGGCGCAAAAGTTCCGTGAGCCTGAACCTGAACCTGAACTTTCCCGCGCTGGGCGGCTGTACCCTCATGGGTGCGCTACTACTGGACCTCCAGTGCAGGGAGCGCTCTGGTTGGGAACGAATGAGCTCACGATAACGATGACAATGATGATGCATATTGTGAACTTTTATTCACCGGGAGGTTGGTTGTGCAGGATGGGCTTAGGTGTATGTGTGCATGTGCACAGGTGGATTTGTCGGTATGTATGTAACAGGTGCCGCGGAGGCCGTCCCTAAAAGCCTGAGCGGCGACCCCAATGACGGTCAACAGCGCCATTATTGGCGCCGGGTGGGGACGTTGACGTCCTCCCTCGCTCGCATGGGTTCAGAGCGGACGTATGTGGACGTGGACGTATGAGTGTGTGAAGGGGGGGGACGGCCACCAGTGGGCACTAATGTGTGATACATATTTTGTATGGAGCTGTGTCGGTGTGGTTAGCTGCATTATTTAGGTAGGTGTTGGCAGACGGTCATGTTCGGGGGTCGGTGGGCGGCTCCGCTGCTGCAGGGTCCGTGTTTGGCTTTCAGCTGGTTCTTGTGGGCGGTGCCCCTGGAGATGGCGGTGAACTGGGGTGGTGGTGGCAGTGGCCTTCATGGCCCACACTCGATGATTTCCCGGACAGGTAGTAGGATTGTAAGGGTCGACCTGCTGTGCGTTAGTGTAAAAGGCCCCCCCGTCACCATGATGGGAGCGCGAGAGGTGGTGACTGAACGGATTTCGAAATCAACCCTGCGGTGACGACATGACGCTGAGAGATCTGATGTCCGGGCAGCACATAGCCACACCCCACCGGCAACAGGAGATGATACGGGAAGTAGCTATCGGGTATGGTCTTTACATATTTGGTGGTTCCACTGCCGGTGGTTAAGTTTTAAGCATGTGTTTGCGTCTTGCATTCCTCAGGTACTTTACTTAGGTGCAACAAGATCCGAGTAATGCAACACACCAGGTGGTCCGACCGACCCGAGGATCTGGACCAGGGGGCCACATCCATGGACATCAGCTGAGAACCTGGGTGGCTCAAGCTGGTTACGTGTTGCCGAATGGATGGCGCTCGAAGAGGAAGTCCTCTTCGCAGCTCTCCACTGCATGCGCGCCCATAAATGCAAGCCTGTCAGACCTCCGACCCCGTGAAGCTTCTCCATTTGCCTCTCTTCACAAAAACGTCATCAAGGCACAAGAACAGAGGGCACTACGTACTTCAGCCCACGATGCCCATAATTTAATTAAAAGACGCGGCGGCCGCCAACGCCCAACCCCTGCAAGTATTCCACATACTAGTGCATTTCGCCCGGCGGCTCGCTCGCTGAAAAAAGCCGCAAGGCATTCAGTTTAACAGTGACTGTGGCTTTCCGCAAGCTTGCCACCACAAAGCCATAAGACGTTCATCATTGATATCGCCCCTGCGCAAGGCTCACGATGTAACGAAATAATAGCAACAAATACGATCGACGTTTGCCGCCGCCCTTCCACTCAGAACCACGTTTAGTCCACGGGGCCCCGGCGCATACATGCGGTAAAAACACACATGCAACCAGCACGCACGCCACAGGGCTCTGTAACCCCGCCGCTTCCCTTCCGTGTACGGGGAGGGTCCTACCCGGCGTACATACATACATACATAGCGCAAGTAAAGCCCGTCAGCTTGCAAAGTTGCAATCCACCACCGACATTCACCACAAACGTTTTGCGCAAATGCAGGGCCGTCCCCGTTTTCCGCGGGGTGTTGCTTGTTTCACGTTTGATAAAAAAATAATTGTTGTATCATGTCGCTCACCATTCTATCATTTCTTTCAAGCGAGCGGACAGCGGGCAATCCCCCCAGTGCTGTGAGCTGGGAACGTCGCATTCCCCTGTGATTTAGTTTAATAGTTAAACGACCCCGCCGCCTGCAATAAGGTTGTAAAACGACGCCAAAAATCGAGAAGGCAATTCTCAAGACAGCCGGGACAACGGGCACATGTTACGAAGATAAGGGCGACCGCGGAAGAGGTCGTCAATCGTGAATAGATAATAAGGTTATTAGGTAGGTCGATTAGCAGAGCTTACACCGCTATGCTGTTGTCGCTCGGATGTGTATCTGATATCTTTGCATGTGTGTGTGCACACGCGCACGCATGCACATATGCAGACGTGTGTGGGTGTGCGCTTTCACAGCTTGTGCACCAGCTGTATCCAACCTTGCGCTGGAATGTAGTTGATACCCCACAGGGCCTCGGCCGCCACGTAGCGGGGACCGCCTTCTCGCCCCATGTGGCCCCCCGTGCTCACCCCAGACTCCCCACCGCACTTACATATACACCCCACCCCACTGGGACCATACATACATACATATATATACATACATACATACATACCAGCAGGAGTATCTTACCGCCAGGGCCAGGGCCACGGCCACCCGTATAGATATGCCGCTGCGGCCGGCGCCAGGGGAGGCTGCCGTGTGGCAGTCCCAATCATAACCCCAACCGGACATGAGAGCGGGTGGGGTGTGCGTGTGTGTGTATGCGGGGAGAGGGGCCCACACCGGCGGCTAGCTAGCCAAGGTAGGTAAGGTAGGCCAAACGTGCCGGCTGGGGCACCCAACGCAGTTAGAATGCCTCCACGCGGCGCATTTCCCTCGCTGAGGTCGAGGTGGTCCTCTCCGCCAGGATCGTGTCCAGCTGCAAATTGCACTGCGAGTCCGTCAGCCCCGGGTAGATGGAGCGGTACACCGCGTAGGCAGTGATGAAGCCGATCGCTAGACCTGGAGGTGCATACATACGTACATGCATACGGTCGATTTCACGGGGAATTGGAAGTTGGAAGTTGGGAACTTAAGGAGAAGGGGCGTTCACCCGGCGTTTACAACAATAATAACAACAACAACACCTCTTCCTCCCCCATTAACAAGCACATCCTCCCCATTATCCCTCCCCGCCCCCGGCCCCTCCCCGATGCGCACTTACAGGTAGACATACAGGTGCTAACCTGCTTGCATTGCCGTCTCCTACGGAACACTCGGCCGACACCCGATAACCACAAAAGCCACGTCACCACCATCACATGAAGCTCGAACCGCGAACAGACGCACACTGGAAGAGCATCAGGCGCGCCACACACGGACACACAAACAAACACTCACACCGTCTCCTCCCCACCCCACGCGGACCTCCGCACCTGTCAGCACATCCGAAGTGAAGTGCCAGTAGTCCAGCACCCTAGTGACCCCAACCGCCACCGCTCCGAAGCTGGGCAGCAGCGCCACCAGCAGCCGCCACAGCCGCCCCAGACAGGTGCCCCGGGAGAAGGGCCTCAGCTGCCCCAGCAGGTACAAGCTGGTGAAACCCAACCCGGCCGCACTCAAAGAGCTGTGGCCTGGGTGGAAACAAGTGGGTGCAGTATCAGATCAACGGGGTGCCGTACATTGAGAGATGGTACGATACGGGGGTAGGCGTCAGGGAAGGAGGCATGGATGTGATGTGAGGAGTGGGAGGGAGAGAGAGATGTTCGAGTAGAAGCACGTAGAAGCATGTCTTGATGATTTGAGCCGCGGGAAGATATGTCTGTGTATGTCTATACGTATGCATGTCTGTACGTATGTGTGTATCTATCTGCATGTACGTATGTGTATGTGTCTTACCGCTGGGCCAGCTCTTCCGTATCTCCTCCAGATCGGATGTGGGTACGCTGGGGTCGCACACTGCGTAGCCGCCCCACTGCACGGCCAGGGGGTAAGGCAAGGGCGCAAAGCACAACGAGGCGCAAGCACAGCACACGGTTTCAAGGGAGCTAAAAAAAGCTAGTCCTCATGCTGCACAGTTGACCGTTAATAAAGCTTCTCATAATGCCAAAGATAACGGCATGAAAACTCTTTCTATATGGGTCAAAGGACCCGGATCTCGTGTAACGTGAAGCAGCTATGAGGGCGGTATAGGCCACGAGGTGGCACACGGAGCAGAGAGCCGCTGCGTCGATTGGCGATGGCGATAGAGCACACTGCGGCGTAGCCTTGCCGGGCCCCGCGGGTCCACAACCACCGGAGGGACACCTGTTAGGGGCCACACAAGAGGCGCACACGTACCACCACCACCACCACTGCCACCACCACCATTGCCACCATCCGTGAGAACGTCAAGCGGCCGCCGCTGGCGCCAGCTGGCACAGCTGCTGCTGCTGCTGCTGACTGTGATGTCCCTCGTCTGCCTGCCTGCCGGGCACCACCCACCACCTGCTGGTGATGTTGTCCGCCCCCTCGGGGTTCTACCACAAGTCCGCCAGTCCGCTGGTGCTGGTGCTGGTGAGAGTGGTACCTGGCATTCGCGCCCACGTCGTCCTCCAGCCCCATCTTCCTCCATGCACGTCTTCCCCCATTCTCGTCCCCACCCACCGAGCCGCCACCCGCCCCACCTCGTCCTCCCGGGTGAACACCCGGGTGCCATTCGGCCAGCAGGTGCGGACGAAGTTGGGCCGCAGGCGACCGACGGGCAGCTTGAGGCAGTTGGTGATGGCGCCGGTGAGGAAGAACGCAAGACACAGCGCCGCCCACAGGCGCGCCAGCTCCCGCCAGGGACGCTGCTGTACAAACCGCGCGACCAGCATCAGCACCAGCGGGCCGACCAGGGCGTAGACAGGTACACTCCAAGAGGGCACGGTGTTTTGCTTTTTGTGCATGCGCGGCAGGGGGCCCGACGGTGAAGAGGGAGTTGTGAAAAAAGGTATGGGTCGGGGTAATGCGAGACGTGGTGTTGGACTGAGAGGACGGACGCGGGGCCTTAAGTTGTGATGTGGGAGTGTGTGAGCCATGGAGGTGACCGGGGGGAAGAGGGATGCTGCTGCTGCTGGACAGGGGCCAGGTGAAGAGGGGATCGCGACATTAGCAAAGGCGCGTGCGTCCGGCGATAGAAACTTCCAGAGGGCAATATGGTGGGTGCAGAAGGCGAGTGAGCCCGGCGCAGTCGAAACGTGCTGGCTAGTCCCGTCTTGCAGCGTTGTTGTGGGTGTGTCAAACCGTCCATGCCGGTTCAGCCACAGGCGGAAATGCGGCGTTCCAAGTGACTATACCGTCAAATATATAATTTTTAACGTGCTTCGCATTTACAACGCTTTTCCATTATCCATGGGGTTGGTGCTCGGTGAGCCGCGGGGCGGGTAAATCATGGCGGAGCAGGTTCGCACCAGCTCACCTTGTGTGGGAAGCTGTTCCAGTAGAGTGTGTCCTTTAACACAAATCTGTTCTTCGGGCTCGCCTTCTCCAATCCTAAAGCTAACACCAGGCACGCAAGCGCAGCCAGCCAGTCAAGGATGATTGGACACGAACAATGTATCCTGAAGGTCATCTTCCTTTCCTTAGGGGCGTCTGGCAAATGCGCCTCGACATCGTCGGCGCCTTGCTCAACGCCTAAGGGAGCGTTCATGGTCATGATAGATCCCCCTCGCTTAATTAAGACTTTGCCTTCTTCAAGCTGTTGTAAGGATGAAGAATTTGCCAGAGCCAGCTGCGAGTTCTTTCTATTGCGCAACGAAAGCTCAAGGCTAGCTTTGACCAGCAGAGGCCTAATCTTTATGAATGCTCTGCGGTCCGCCTGTAAAAAATTTGCGAAAGAAACCACGTTAAGCTAAAGTACCCTGTAATCCTGCCCTTCGCTTGTTGCAAGGAGTTGCCTGTACGAACACGAGCGGTTAAGTTCTTCGACCACAATCGACATGCTTATAGCCAAAGCTGGCAGCCTCGATTAGGTACCAGCTGCATAACCACTATATTTACGCTGCATTAATGGGCTTCATGTATTTGAATTCAAATTTCCACCGGGTATGCTTAGCCAGACATACTTTCCGGCGGATCCGCCTTTGCCATCAGAGAATAAAACGCACGGCATGCCTGCAACCCCAATTATCGTGGGCAAATGCTCTTCGCACCGTTGCTTCAACAGGCGGGACCATGGAAGCTCTCATAGCTGAAGTTAGGTCGGGTGCTTTGCGTTAGGCTTCTTCATGGCTTAGCCTTGTCTCTCGCTGAGGAGGCTCCAGGTTGCCCAGGCGGCCGTACAGCGTGGCTCTGCGGCGCTTGCTTATGACAGTTGCTAGATTGCTACCTTACCATAGAGAAATAAAGACACTTGGCAACAGGATAGGATAGATGGGCAAGACGTTGCCCTCCCCTACCCCTTCCCCCCCCCCCACACACACACATACACAGGCAATCACACACGTACATCGTCCATGGCGGCGGTTCGGCTATAGCGCCACCATACATAAGACATACCGAATGTTCCCGTGTGCCTTATCCCTTGTTTGCTAGCAATGCGCAGGGACTGGGCTGGAAAGAGAAGACCAGCAGCATGTGCTCTCTGCCGTAATGCTTTAACCTGGTACCCATGAGCTTGTACGGCCTACATAACTTCTCCTGACTAACGTTCCAACTGATATGTAGCTCGAGGAATACCGTAAACAGTCGCAAACTTGCGCTTCTTGTAGGAATCTTGATGGCCATAATTACACATTTTCCAAAAAAAATTGCTTTTGTCGAAAGGAAATAAAACACGCTTTTACTAAACGGTTCACCTGGGCTGCACATGTCCACTTCCCGTCTAGCGAACACCTCAACGCACCACCGCAAGAGAAATGAATATGCTCGTGTGTGTTACTCAAGTTGAAAGCTACGAGCTATATCGCATTACCTATCGACCTGCAGGACTCCTGCCATGCATGCACACTCCCATCCGTACTTCAATACAACCCCCCCGGGATTGCAGACCTCTCACTCTACTCACAAAGGCCGCACCTGCTTGATCGCCGACCAGTCCGTAGGGGCACATAATGTCCTTTTCAGCCAAATCTTGTTGTTGTACGGCCTTCAGTATCATCTTTCAGTATCAACTTCTCGGCCTCCAATGCCATTATCCTGGGTACGACCCAACCCACCACATCGCATCTCTCTCTGCCACCCAGTGACTAACCTGCACATGTAAACCGCAGACAGATGTAGACATACAGACAGACAAACAACATCCAAGCACCGCGTCACAGCTTCTGCCAGATTGAACCTAACAAAACAGTTTCTCCAACTGCTCCGCTTTTCGTTCTTTAATCAACCACTAACGGAACCTATCCTAAATATACACCGTACCCTACCTTACGACACCTGCCAACATGCAAACATGCATTATCGCATCGGCACATACAGTTGTGCATCAGGGTCCGGGGTCGCCATCAGATGCGCGACAACATACCAGATTGTATTGACAGGCCTGCATATCAACCAAGGCATCCGTGCATTTTGAAAAAAGCAATCAGCGTATTGTATCTGTGGAAAGTCTACAAAACGCGCTGCTAAAACCTATATAACCCTAATGACCACATGAAGCTGCTGGAAAAGAAATACAGCTTTACAAAAAAGAAGAAAATTCAAATCCTACGGCTTAACATGCTCGAGATGGCGGTTCAAGATCGCCGCCAAAATCTCAATCACTCGGATGTGCTATTATGCTCGGATTATGGTATATAGCTACTTGTCCGCCCAAGAAATACACATGAGCGGCGCGCGTATGTTCGATATTTACCGAGCTGGATAACGTAGTCAGGGTGGTGTCAACTCATGATGTGCACGCGCGCACGCATGCATGCCCTGGAGAAAGAGAACAGAAGAAATGAGGGAAGAAAGGAAGGACAAACACACGACTCGACTCAAAAGATTCCCACAAGTGCTGGAAAAGAATCCCATTACGACCATCACCGCGGCCCGGCGGTGTGCACACCAGACATACCGTTCCTTAGCGCCCACCCTCTCTCTCACGCTTCCAACCGCGCCCTATCCCTCTGCACACACCTCGCCTCCACCACAGCCTTCCTTTTAATGGCATCAACCGCTAGGCTGCGCAAGTCCCATATACCAGTACGGCTATTAACTACTATCGACGGCTAAACCACAAACACCCACCCCTCGCCGCCTCGGGTGGCGCTGCCCAGCAGTTCACGAGGGCTCTACTGGTGAACGCAAACCACCCGCAAACAGGCACTAGAGTGCCATCTCTCCCGCGAGGTACCCCCAATGCGGACAATGACCCCAATAGGCCAAACCATCACCACCCAGGGCACTCTCTCTCTCTCTCTTCTGAATCTAAGACGGAGCGAGCGGGTCTTTCTTCATGATAGCACCCCCAAGAACATCCAGACAACCCAGTTGGATCACATCCTGACCCGTAGGTCAGCTTATGGTAAGGAACGAGTCGCGCGAGTCTGCATGGCGGCCGCATACGAGCTCCAGTCCCAACAAGAGCAGCGGGGGGATCAAGCGGAAAAGGGGGGAAGGCGGAGAAACAAAACGTAGGAGGGAACCCCGGTCGCACATGTGCGCACACGCATACGGGGGCTCAGGTTGCTTTGGGCAACTGCTGCCAATCTGAACTCAGCCCTTAACACAAACCAACGACACCGTTTGATCAAAACCTCTACCCATCCAAAGTACACCCCCCGCCTGGGGAAACACAGGCCCCCACCAGCAGATCAATCCTCAGCCCCCCTGATTCGGCCCTAAGCCTTCTGCCGACCCCGCGTAGCCAGATGGCTTCCTTGGGGGAAAGCCGTGGGAGCAGCCAAACCCTCCTTCCCACACGGACATAGTGCCCACCTTTCTGCACCTCCTCGCAAACAACCTGCCAACCGCGTCGCCAAGCCCCCACTACGACACGCGCCCGCTGCCAAAGCTAATCAGCAAAATCGGCATTGCAACACCGTCTCCTGTCACTGCCGGCACCAGCAACGATACAGCGGTTCGCGGTTACCCAGACAGCACACCCCTCTTGTGGAAATGCAACCGTTAACTGTCAACCACCTCAGCAGGGTCCTGCCGTACGACCGCGTCAACCGTCGGAGCTCAGCTCTGTGAAATGACTTCGTCAGCGCCGGCAAGCCAAGGCCAGCCCCGCCACCGCAACCCCAGCAGCGACTGCCGTACCTCCAATGTACGCCACAAAACGGGTGTGACGGGACGCCCACGCCGTACCCTCCGAAACCACCTTTTGGATCTGGGCGAAGAAGTTCAGTGCGACATTTGCAGCTGGATTGACCTTCTTCAGCTCACTCGCCGTCTGAACGCTCCGAAAGCTGCGACGGCGGATGGCGACGACAGCCGGTGTGGCCGCGACCGGCGCACCGGCCGCCACTGCCGGCGTGGCGGGCGCCGACGGCGCGTCCTCGTCCTTAGAGCCCTTGACGGCGGCAGCGGCGGGCGCCTTGGTGGCGGTCGCGGCAGCTGGAGCGGCCTTGACGGCTGTTGCCGCTACTGCCCCGTCCGACGGGCACGGCGCTGTTGCCGCCACTGACTGGAATGCCGCCGCCGCCGGCGCGTCCTCATTCGCCTTGGGGACCTTCGCCACTGGTAACAATAGACCTGCAACTTGAGCAGGGCGCTTGAAATCTAAATGCGGCAAAGAACGTGGCTCCGGCACCTTAGCTGACGGGTCAGATTCCTCCACTGCCGCCGCCACTGAAGTCTGCATGGCCCCCACTGGCTTCTCTGCCGCCGCCGCTGGCGAAGGCTCAACCTTTTCCGTTACCGCCGTTGCAAGGCCCCGTGCCAACCCTGCTCCCACAGGCGCGGAATCCGCCGCCACGGAAACAGCAGGGCCCGGCACTGCAGGCCTTGGCTCTGCCACCACGGCTGCTACCGGCATCGCAGGCTCCGTCTCCGACGGCACCGCGGCTCCGGGAGCAGGCTCTGCCTCTAACGTCGCCTCCACCACTGGCTTTTGCTCTGGCGTCGCCGCAGCCGCCGGCACAGGCTCGGGTTCGGGCGTGGCCGCTGCCGTAGATACGGGCTCGGGCTCTGGCGTCGCCGCAGCCACAGGCTCGGGCTCTGATTTCGCCGCTGCCGCCGGCACAGGCTCGGGCTCCGGCGCCGCCGCTGCCGCCGGCACAGGCTCGGGCTCAGGCTCGGGCGTCGTCGCTGCTGCCGGCACAGGCTCGGGCACAGGCTCGGGCTCGGGCACTGTCGTCGCCGCTGCCGCTGGCACAGGCTCGGGCTCGGGCGTCGCCGCTACCGTCTGTACAGGCTCGGGCTCGGGCGTGGCCGCTGCCGCTGGCACAGGCTCGGGCTCGGGCGTCTCCGCTTTTGCCGGCACAGGCTCGGGCACAGGCTCGAGCACTGGCGTCGCTGCTGCCGCCGGCACAGGCTCGGGCTCGGGCGTGGCCGCTGCTGCCGGCACAGGCTCGGGCACAGGCTCGGGCACTGGCGTCGCCGCTGCCGCCGGCACAGGCTCGGGCACTGGCGTCGCCGCTACCGTCTGTACAGGCTCGGGCTCGGGCGTGGCCGCTGCCGCTGGCACAGGCTCGGGCTCGGGCGTCTCCGCTTTTGCCGGCACAGGCTCGGGCTCGGGCGTCGCCGTTGCCGCTGCCGCTGGCACAGGCTCGGGCTCTGGCGTCGCCGCTGCCGCAGCCGCCGGCACAGGCTCGGGCACTGGCGTCGCCGCTGCCGCCGGCACAGGCTCGGGCACTGGCGTCGCCGCTGCCGCTGCCGCCGGTACAGGCTCGGGCTCGGGCGTCGCCGTTGCCGCTGCCGCTGGCACAGGCTCGGGCTCTGGCGTCGCCGCTGTCGCAGCCGCCGGCACAGGCTCGGGCCCTGGCGTCGCTGCTGCCGCCGGCACAGGCTCGGGCTCTGGCGTCGCCGCTGCCGCTGCCGCCGGCACAGGCTCGGGCTCTGAATTTGCCGCTGGCACAGGCACAGGCTCTGGCGTCGCCGCTGCCGCTGCCGCCGGCAAAGGCTCGGGCTCCGGCGTCGCCGCTGCCGCCGGCACAGGCGGATCTGGCGTCGCCGCTACCGTCTTTACAGGCTCGGGCTCTGAAGTTGCCGCTGCCGCCGGCACAGGCTCGGGCTCTGGCGTCGCCGCTGCCGCCGGCACAGGCTCGGGCTCCGGCGTCGCCGCTGCCGCCGGCACAGGCTCGGGATCTGGCGTCGCCGCTACCGTCTTTACAGGCTCGGGCTCTGGCGTCGCCGCTGACGCCGGCAAAGGCTCGGGCTCTGGCGTCGCCGCTGCCGCTGGCACAGGCTCGGGCTCCCGCGCCGCCGCTGCCGCTGGCACAGGCTCGGGCTCTGGCGTCGCCGCTGCCGTAGATACGGGCTCGGGCTCTGGCGTCGCCGCTGCCGGCGGCACAGGCTCGGGCTCTGGCGTCGCCGCTGCCGCCGGCACAGGCTCGGGCTCTGGTGTCGCCGCTGGCACAGGCTCGGGTTCTGGCGTCGCCGCTGCCGCCGGCACAGGCTCGGGATCTTGCGTCGCCGCTGCCGTAGATACGGGCTCGGGCTCGGGCGTCGCCGCAGCCACAGGCTCGGGCTCTGATTTCGTCGCTGCCGCCGGTACAGATTCGGGCTCTGGCGTCGCCGCTGCCGCCGGCACAGGCTCGGGCTCTGGCGTCGCCGCTGCCGCCGGCACAGGCTCGGGCTCTGGCGTCGCCGCTGCTGCCGTAGACATAGCCTCGGATTCAGATTCCATCGTCCCCGTCGGAGCCTGCTCGGCTTCCGCCGCTGACGGTGCTGGATCTGAATGCGCTGCCGGCACCGGCGTTGCCGCCGATGCATGCTGCTGATTCACGGCCGTCGTCGCCGCCGACCCAGGCTTTGACTCTGCCTCCGCCGTTACCACGGCAGGTCCCGAAACTGGCTCTGCCGCCTCCGCCGCCTCCGCCTCCGCCGCCTCGGGCCCGGGTTGCGGCTCCTCCGCCTCCGCCGCAGGTCCGATCGCAACCTCCGGCGCGGCAGGTAGGGATGCAGTAGGCACCGGCACTGAGTCAATGGCCTCTGCCTGCACCTGCGCTGGCACCGCGTCAGCTCCGAAACCCGCTGCCGGTGGCACCACATGTGGCACGACTGCCGCCGCCGCCACCGGTGCCTTCGCCGCCGCCAGGTCCGCCGCCGCCTTGTTCAGTGGGAAGCGACCTGCCTCCGGGTCGTGAGCTCCCAGCTGCAGCAAAACAGCCTCCACGTCGCACTGCTCGAAAGTCCTTGAAATCTGTCAGTATGAAGACATACGTATATTTGTAGCTGGGAATGCTCTCGACAGGTACATACACATACATACACATACATACATACATAACACACCATACATACATACACCATACATACATACACCATACATACATACACCATACATACATACACCATACATACATACATACATGCATACACTACATACATACATGCATACACTACATACATACACCATACATACACCATACATACACCATACATACATACATACATACATACATACATACATACATACATACATACATACATACATACATACATACATACATACATACATACATACATACATACATACACCATACATACATACATGCATACTACATAGATGGTGAAGCATCAACATGCAGATCCGCTACGTAATGCACTTGCTGCCTAGTCCTCCATTCTTTTAGTCCTACGGAGTTACGACACTCATTGCCGGGTATAGCACAACACTGAACACACCATTTACGCAATACACATACACATACACACACGCACGTGAAGTCCCCCAAAACCCCCGTACCGCAAGCGCCGTACGGCCGTGCGCGTCCTTGTCTTCCAGCTTTGCTCCAGCCGCCGCCAGCGCCCGCAACGCCGCCACCTTCCCCAGCCTGGCCGCCGTGTGCAGAGGCGGCTGCCCCGTACGACTGTTCACAGCCCCACACAGGCCTGGGGAACGCAAAAGCAACGGCGACGGTGGCACAGCACGGTAACTCGGGCAACGAGGCAATGTACGGCATAGTCGGAGGGGGAGGGACCACATCCCGACTGTCGGTGCCCGAAGCGCTGTAGAAGCCCCAAGTCGCCATTCGTGGGTAGTCAAGAGCAGTCACGGCTCGTTATGTGCGGGAGGAGGGGGTTCCGGGTAACGGCACGGACGGACGTACCGTTACCAGCAGAACGAGCCAGGGAAAAGCATGGAGGCAGTGCCCTCCTCGCCGCCTATACGTGCAGAAGTCACAGAATCGCGCCCCCCTCCTCCCTCCACCCATTGCTCCATCCGTCTCCGGCTTCTCGCCAGGTGCCCACCTGGCTTGGCCTTCAAAAGCTCCGAAACCCCAGCCGCGTCATCCGCCTCGACCAATCTAGACATCTCCACCACGTCAGACTGCTCGGCGCTGCGAGCGCACCAAAGCGCCGCCAGCGGGGCCGCCAGACCGGCACCGTCGGGCGCCGCCGCCAGCTGCTCTGCAATCTCGTCACGACTGTACGATGTCAGGCCTGTGTACGGCAGAACAGTCATAACCATATTCGTACTCCATTCGTATCCAATATACGGCGCAGAAAATGATTACTCGAGAAAAAGATGTGCTCAAGTTGTAGCAAGTGAAAGCCGCCTCACCGGAATCCCGTGCCCATTTGTAGAGCGTGGCAGCCAGTTCCAAAAGCTCAGGGCCAATAGAAGGTCTGCAGGTTAGGGGAGGAGTGCCTCAGCAGTATGGTAGCGGGTGGCATAGGGTAGGGGACGTACATACATACGTACATACATACATACAAACATTCACACCCTCGCAACCGCCCCCCCTTCTGACAAGGTTGCCCTTCCTTCGCCCCCACCAGCCCCACCGCCTGCCCAGGTTCCTCTCCTCAACAGCTCAATCAGACCACTGTGGAGCATTAGGAATTCCCCCGCATGCTCCCCATTCTCCCCCCCCCCAAGCAGCACTCCCCTTGCCAACAGACTCGGCTTCATTGCCCCGAAACCCATCACCACCCAGTTCGCTGACAAACTATCGAGAAAACTACCCGTATGTTTGCAGAAGCCTTTGATAATTGAGGATCCCCACAAGCAAGAAAAAGTTGAGGACAACCAAAGAAGTTTCAAGGCTACTGTGGAGACATGAGTTCAATAGCTAAAAACTTAATTTTCAGGTTTAGCAAAGGTAGATGACGCCCATCTACATCCCCATGGTGCCCACCTCTAGCCGGTCGCTCTCTACCCCGCACCCGCCCCCCCCCCCCGCCCTCACTCACCGAGAGGGCGCACAACCCTTCTTGAGCACCGTCAGCCGGCGCTGGTCCCCCACCCCCTCGCTCACACTCTCCAGCACGGAGGACAGTTCCGCCGACGAGGTGATGGTGCTGTGCGGGGGCAAGGCGGGGGCAAGGGAGAAGGGAGCAGGGGGTAAGAGGGGAAAGCACGTGGGGCCTGAGACAAAGAGGAGCTACACGGGAGGAAGGATAGGAGGCGAGAAAATGTGCGCGGAAGGAGGGAAATGGGGGAGGGTGAGGAAAGAGGGAACGGCGGGACACATATGTAAGGGACACAATATCGACAACAACCGGATCAGGTTCCTATGGCCACACGACAGAGCTCCTTGGAAACACGTCACGATGGCGGGCAAGGAGGTCGCGGGAGGAGGGCGGGCGGGCAGAAGGGAGAAGCACTGCCGTAGGAACCTACGTGTGTACGGCAGCCCGTTCATCTTTCGAAAGAGAGGCCGCAAACTCTATCTTGGCGGCGGAAGAATTCGACGCCGCCACGCCCTTGGCAAACCATTGCATCAGTTCGAGTACGGCATTTGACTCCTGTCGTACACGGGACAAAGGTTGAGGAAAGCGGCAATCAGCCCAGGCGGGAATGTGCATGAAGCAGTGAAAGGAACAATCAATGGGTGAATAAGGACATGCGGCTTAGCAACTTTGCAAACCACACCCAGCCGGAGATCTGCGTCACATCTTCTCGAGAAAGGTTCTTCGCGCAGACTTTTCCAAATCGCCTTTATAATACAGAACATGTTTGGTCCCATGCGCGTGCGCACGCTTCACGCACGAGGTGCATTTGAATCAATCAAGTGGTTTCGGGTGTAAACCCAAAGATAGGTGCCGGGATTACCAAGCCTTTGTAAATATTTGGATGAAGATGTTTTCCATTAAAAGGGCGGAGATTTGCTAGCGCATAGGTTTGAGGAGTGAAATGAAGGGGCGCACGCGCTTAAGAGGCCGGCATGACGGACATAACAATAAACGTTGGAGAGTCCATCCAATTGCAAACAATATAGGCAAACACGTGTCAACAAGCGTTCTTAATATGCAGGATCTCATAGCGAAGTGCCGATGGATTGCATAAAATGACATCGCGCATACACACGACCGCACGTTGCAACATCACCAGTCCCTTATCTTACAATCACTCCCGTCGCCAAAGCTGGTGCTGGGTTTGCCTCAAAGTCCACATCCAAGTCTGCTGGAACATCTGCAAACATGCGGTGTGTCAATGAGCGGCGCGTTCGGAGTCCGGTGCCTCCCATCCCCACAGCACTACCCACCATTTCCCGAAACCCAGAAAGCGCCTTTGCAAGGTGCTGTCGTCGGTCCCCACTTACCCTGTTCAGACACCGCGTTCCAGAATGCGGCCGGCGCAGCGATGGTAAAAGCAAGTGTAGCCGGCGTGGCGGACGGCGTAGAATTACTCGGACCTCCAGCCCCAGAAGGACGTGGTTTACCATTGCCACCTGATTTCTTCTTGTTGCCGGACTTCTTCCGGGCCATTATATTGTGATGGTGATAAAGCAGACTTGGCTGTCTAGTTCGACCGATCGAATGAGTGACTAGCTTGAAAGAGAGAAAAGATTGTATGACAATGCTGATTTGAATAACTTCTAACAAGATTAATTTAATGCTGCTCAATTGTTAACTTATAAATAGCCAAGGCGCATCCCGTAATAGAAGGCCCGACAAGGTGAACGACAGCAGCTGCACGACCTTGCAATTCCGCTTCAGAGAAACCACCCTGCTAAAACTGCTAAACCGAGCATGCAGATGTAGGCATCTTGGGGTATGTTCTAGGCATTTGGGGGACATGTTTTAGGCCCGGAATGCCGTTAGCAGGCGACTGCCCCGCTCCAGGTTTAGCACGACAAGAGGTTAATGGCCATGTGCCAATTGGGTCGGTTCATATCCTTGTACATGGATTATCATCTAGGCTGACCAGGCTTGCCAACTTCCGCTTTCAAGAGCGGTCCTTGACTTACAGGTGCCCAGATGCACTTTGCGCATCGTTTCCTTTCTGCCATCACACGCCTAGTACTAATTGACTACTGAAAAGGATATATGCTATGTTAGCCCGACGTGTCCCTCATGTAACAGTCGGATTAAAGTTACCGTAACCACCCCCGTCCTGCCATGCCGCAGCGATGGTGTTGAACCACCACACACCTGGAAGGCGGTTTCAGCGTATGGCACGCGGTCGGCGGAGCTCCTCACGGCTGTCGCACGGCTGGTAAGACCATAAAAGAATCAGTTGCTGATCTGTGCTTTTTTCCCGGCTTCCCCCTTGCTGCTTGCTAGCGGCCCTTGCTCAGCTCCCCTCTCAACATCCCGCCGCGTCTCGTCACACACCAAACCACGCCAAAAGACGCTAAATAACAAGTAGGAACCATGCGCACGCACATGCGCCTCCGCACTCCACAACACACTTCCTGACCCCACCAAACCTGCCACAAGCACCACAAGCCCGCCAGCCGACTCATCCAGCCAATCAGCAAGCCAGCCAGCCAAACCCACACCCGGTTTTATCACACCCGACAAAATGCTCTTCCCCCCCTCGCACCCTCTAAGGCTCCGTTCTAGAAGCTTCTCTGCAGTCTGCCAAAGCCCTCTTCCCCTTGCGGCCCTGATGACCGACATGCGACCAGGAGGCCACCAAGCGGCTCACCGTCCGGGTGAGGACACGGATCTGGCCGCCGCAGCCGCCGCCGCCGCCGCCGCCGCTGCCGCCGCCAGGGGCAGGGGCAGGGACAGTAGCGGCGGGGGCGGTGCCCCAAGATGGAGAGGCAGCCAAAGACACGGCGGCACGGAGGCTCACTGCGCCATCGACCTCCACCTCGGCCGCCGCGGCAACCCCGCCGCCGCCGTCGGTCCATCGCAGGGACCCCGCCGTACTCCCAGCTGACGTGGACCTGCTAGAGCTGACGCTTCTCCTTCCGGAGGCCCTATGGTCGTACGACGAGGCGCGTGTGCGGGGTTGGCTGCAGAAGGAGCGCAAGGCGGCGGTGACTGTGCTGGGTGCCGTGGTCCCCCGGGGTGAGAGGGGGGAAGGTGTGTGTGTGTGTGTGGAGGGAGGGTTCACTCGATGGTGGATCGGATGCGCGGTGAGACGGCGGGAGGGGGGTGATATCTTGGCAGGTCTGGGACTCCCCTCGGAGGAGGCATGGGTGTTGTCCCGGGCACCAGCCACTAGGGGGAGCTGCATCCCAGCAGCGGCGCAACTGCCCGAAGTAGGGAGGGGGGAGCTGATCCCAACAAGAAATAGCTTTTGTTGATTTAGTTGACTATTTTATGTCAAAATGCTGGTGCTGTGACTAACGCTGATGGTGCTACGCCACTGGTGTCTGTACGGCTGTACGGCACCTGCGGGACTGCTGCTGGTGCTACAGCCGCTGTCGGCAGTAGTCACCTGTACGACCTGATTCGGGAGGCGGTGGAGGACCTCTTGGAAGAGCAGCCGCCGGGGGGGAATCGGGAGCGGTACAGGTGAGTGAGGTTTGTACGGCATGCCGTACGGTTGCCGTCTATGGCCTGTTGTGATGGATCAACCGTAGTTGAGTATTTCAGTCGATTTTGCGCCGTTGGCTGAGGTATCAAAGCTGATAGCAGCTACTCCCCCCCTGTTTGTTTGAGCCCGTGTGCTACACCCCACCCCGGGCGCGGTGCAGTGCAGCCTAGGACTAGGCTGTAGCAGTACGGCCATAAACCGAAACCGCTACAACCTACACCCTCGGGGGGATCACGTCACCCCTCTCGCCCCCTCTGCTTCCCGGACAGCCTGATCTCCTGTTTTCGTGAGCTACCGAGTGTGACGCGGCAGTACGACAGGCAGTACGACCGCCAGCGCAGCGGCGGTGTTGGCGGCGGCGGCGGCGGCATCTCGTCGACGTCGTCTTCCCCCCCCGCCCCCATCCTGGAGCTCCCCCCGGAGGTCCTGGAGGGCATCATGTCCAGGTTGGGGCCTCTAGACCTGGCGCGGCTGCGGGCCACCTGTACGGCACTGGCGGATGCTGGCGCCGCGGGGGGTGCGGTGCCGGGAGTGCGGTTGACGCTGTTCCCGCACCAGGTGGGGTGGTTGAGGGGCGGTTGGTACGGAGTGCCGCCCGGGCCGAGGGGGATGGGATGGGTTGGGGGGGGTGATGGCGGGGGGTACGGAGTTCCCGTTGGGGATTTGGATGTTGCCTGGATGTGTGTGCGTGTGTACTGATGCCGCATGGTGCCTATCGTGAAGGGGGCCGGGGGGGATGGTCCTTCCCTTGTATGTACGGGAAATTACCACCTCAACTACCTTGCTCGCTCGTGAACACCACCCTTGACGAACATTGGAACAAGCCGCCCGTGTTTCGTGTTTCCGGACCCCCTCACCCTCACCCGAGCCCTGTTGTTTCGGGCTGCGGGCAGTTGGAGTCGCTTAGGGGTTTGGGTTTTGGGCATCATCCGCAGCCGAATCTCTGATGTATTTTTTTCCCATGTCGTGTGTCCCTTCCGCCCACCACCACCACCCTCCCTCCTCCTCTCTCTTCCTGCCCCCTCGTCCTCCGCTGTGTGTGGCCATTAGCGTGCCGCCATCAGCTGGATGATCCGCCGGGAGAGCGGCCGCAACCAGGGGGATGCAGCCGCCGTCATGACAACGACCCATGGGTCACCACCCGCAACGCAGCTGCCTGCCTATCTCCCATCCTCTGCCCAGAAAAGAAAACGACCCCCCAGCAACCATATATACAATCCGCACCACCACCACCACCACCAGCAGGCTGGTAGGGTCGATAGGACAGCTGGCCGCAGCACCAACCCCATGTTCGTTCACCTCGTTGGGGGCGGCAGTGGTGGCGGCGGTGGTGGTGGTGCGGGCAGCCCAGGCGGTGGTGGTGAAGATTGCGGTGGCGGTACCAGCAGTATTCGCAATGGCAGCAGCAGCAGCACGGGGGTGTTCCCTCTGTGGGGGTGTATCGGCCGGGGGGAGCTGCACACGGAGCCGCCTCCCGACCTGCCCCCCGTGCGAGGGGGCTTCTTCTGCGATGAGCCGGTGCGGGGGAAGAGGGGGGAAGGGGGGTAGCGTGTGCAGGAAGCACATGGTCACCATGAAGGGGCAAGGGGGAGGGGGGAAAGACGAAACACGATTGAGTGAAGCTGCTGCCAAGGAGGGAAGGGGGGCCAAGGGGGGGAAGTAGAGTAATGGGGGCAGGGGAGGAGCGTGTAGGGAGGGAGGGGAGGAAAGGGGAGGAAGTGCGGTTGGGTGGGTGGCTTAGGGAGCGACCCGGCCGACGGTGGGGCGGAGAGAGGGGAAGCTGGCGGCGGTTGGTGGGGAAGGATGCAGCGAAGCACCGTGGGACACTGTCGTGAAGTGACCGGGAGCGGGAGGAGGCGCACACCCGCGGAGATCTAATCAACGGCCACGACGCCTAACGGGGCAAGTGAAGGGAGCCGATGTCGTCCGCTGAACCTTCCTCCCACTCCCTCTCCACTCCCCCACCTACCCCACCCAACCCCAACCCCCCCACCCCGCGGTGTCGTGACGCTGTTGTCCTTGTTGCTGTCGTCCAGGGCCTTGGTAAGACCATCACGGCCCTGTCCCTGGTGCTCAAGACCCTGGGCCAGCTGCCCGCCCCGCCCCCCGGGGCCCACGTGGAGTGGCTGCCCAGCCGGGAGGGCAGGAGGGTGGGGGTCTACAACAGGGCCGACGGAGGAGGGGCGGGACTGGGTGGCGGCAGCGGAGACAGAGGAGCTGTGGAAGAGGAGGCGGCGGAGGAGGAGGGGGAGGAGCGGCGGCTGTCCTCTCAGGCGGCGGAAGTGATGACGCCGAACGGCGGTGACGGCGCTACTGGAGGTTGGCGGAGCGCAAGGAGCCCGGCGGCGGCACTGCTGACGGTGACGACGGCGACAGACACTACTACCGCCATCACCACACCGCCATCGTCTCCGCGGACGCGGCGGCAACGCCAGCGGCAGCAGCAGCCGCCGCCGCAGCGGTCGACGCCGAAGCTAGCAGGAGGAGGTGCGGAAGAGAGCCCATCCAGGAACGTTGCTGTGGGCGGGAGCGGCGGCGGCGGCGGCGGCGCTGATGGTGAACTGGATAGGCGGGGCCGCCGCAGCGGCGGTGATGCCGCCGCTGCCGCCGGCACCTCTGGGCGGAAGCGGAGGGGTAAGTCGCAAGAACAGCCGACATCGGCATCATCATCACAGAGACAGAAGATGAGTCGCGAAGGCGGCGGAGGCGGCAACCGCGGTCGTGGCCGTGGCGGGAAGGCGGTGCTGACGGACGACGACGACGACAGCGACGAGGAGGGGGAGGAGGAGGAGGGGGAGGAGGAGGAGGAGGAGGAGGAGGAACAAGATTCTCATGATAGCGACGACGATGATGATGACTATGCACCGAGCGGGAAGGGGAGGGGGAGGATGTGTGCGGGGCAACGGCGGCGACGTAGTGCTGGCGGCGGCGGAGGCGGCGGCGGCAGGAAGGCGGTGGCGGCGGCAGAACACCGCCAGCGGCAGCGGCAGTCTGCTCCGAGCACTCAGCGGAGAAGACCCGGGGCCGTCGGCGGTAACGGCGGCGGCGGCAGTGACGTGGCGGAGGATGGCAGTGAGGAGGAGGGGGTGGTCTGGGTCCAGTGCGAACAGTGCCGCGTGTGGAGGCGGCTACCGAGCGGCACGTTGGTGGGTTTGGGCGGGATGAAGGAAGGGGTGGGGTGGGGTGGGGTGGGGTGGGGTGTTTAATGGTCTGTGTTGGGTTGGGTTGGGCGGATTGGCGAGGGCAGGGCAGGGCAGGATGCGGCCGTGAAAGTGTGTGGGAGGGCTCTTCAGGCCTTGTGGTCGTTTTTTGGTTTAGAATGCGTCAGTCGGCTCGTCTGTCCTTTGCCCTTTGGGGGGGGACTAACCCCCGTTCGCCCGTTCGCCCGCCCGCCCGCGTGAGGCAGGCTCCTGAAGGTGATGACCCATGGTTCTGTCACATGCATCCGCTGCCCGAGACGGCTTCCTGTACGGCACCACGGGAGGAGTACGACTCCGATGGCGAGTTTGCGAATGCGCCGGGCTTTTTCCGTCCAGGTGGGTTGGTAGTTGGACGGTAGTTGGGGTGGTTAGACGAGAGTTCCGTTTGGGGACAGAGAGGGGCCGGCCCCGAGCGATAAGGGGGGAAGGGGAGGGGAGGGGAGGGGAGGGGACTGTTTTTATGGTACTGTATAATTTCCTCCCCGCCCCCCCCCTTTCGGTCAGTTTTTACGTTTGCTACTATCTTGCCCTGGCAGCAGCTTCAATCGCGTGTGGTTCGTCTTTCCCCGCCCCCCCCCTCCCCCTCTCGTTGCGTTGCGTTGCGACCCCCAGGCGACCAGGACACAGCAGGAGCTGGTGGGGATGGGGGGGTGGGGGAACGTGTCCGTGTTTCGAATGTGGAGTACTTCACGTCCACTCTCCGAGCGGCTGCAGCCGCCCTGGGTGTGGATGCGGGCCGGGAGCTGGCGGGCATGAAGGCGTTGAGGTGGGCGGGGGAATTCCGAGGGGTAAACTTCAAGGGCTTAGTATGGTTTACAATTTGCAAGTTGTGTATCAATCGACTACCCAACTAACTGACTGATAAACGAACTAACAGACCGGAAGCAAGTAAACAGCCAAGCAGTCGAAAAGGCGCGTGGAGGGGCCCCGGTCAAATCCCGGTACACGAGCCGCCTCACCCCTACCTGAGGAGGTGTGGGAGAGGAGCGCGCAGGCCGGGAGGACCCCCCCCGGCCCCCGGGCAGCCCGACCAGACCCAATGGATAACCCCCGTGCACTAACCCACCCGCCCCGAGCCTCCCTCCATTCTTTCTTTCCCCGGGTGTCTGTTCGGTGTGTGTGTGAGTGTGAGAGATGTGGGGGGTGATGGGGAGAGGTGAATTCCGTCGTCCCCGCTCCCGCTGCATCTACCCCCACCCCCACCCCAACTCTTATTCCAAATTTGGACGTGCCGGCAGTTGTGATTTGATTTTCGGCTCCTTGCATCACCATCACGGAATGATGACTCCCACCCCACCCGCCCCATGCCTCTCCCCCCCCCTCCGGGTCCCCCAATCCTCAGCTGGTTGGTAGCCCAGGAGCCCGCAGCGCTGCACTCACATGGCCCAGGAGTCGTGGTACCGACGGAGGTACGGCACACCAGCATCGGGTACGACACTGTGTTCCGGAAGCTGGATCTGGTGCCGGTTGGTGACATTAACGGAGGCGGCGGAAGCTGCCGACGTGGCCGCGGCGGCGGCCGAAGGGCCGGCGGCGGCCGTGGTGGCGGCAGCAGCGCGTCGAGTTTCACGCAGCACAGGTGGCGTACGGCGCCGTACATGGTACGACTCTTGCTGGACATCAAGGTGCGACCACGTGCTGTCACTTGTTGATGAGAGGCGGTACCTGAGCATTCTGTTACCTGAAAATCAATGTTGTACAAACGCCGTACAATGCACCTGCCTATTCGCGTGTTGGTATGTCGTACACGCAGGCTCTGGCGGCGGCGCTGGCGGCACTGCGCTCCCGCCCGGATGGGCCAATCCGTTTCTACCTGTCGGCCGCCACACTTGTCGTACTCCCCGCCACGCTCATTGACCACTGGCTCCAACAGATCCGGGTGCGGGGTACGGGAGGGGCGAAGGAAGTGTCTGTACGTATGTATGTTCGTACGCGTATGTAGGGAGGTGGCCGACACGGGCTTGTTTGGTTGCCAGCTTATTCGAGCTGGGGGGAAGGAGGGGTCCTCTTCTGATTGATTGATCCGGGCGCATTTACCTCCTCACCTACATACACAGATACATATACGTACATATGCACACAAAAAAATCCACACACACACACTCTCTCTCTCTCTGTGTGCCGCTGGTCCTCTGTCCCGTGGGCACACAGACCCACGTCGCTCGCGGCGCCCTGCGCGTGTGTGTTTTGGACCGCCTGGACCCCCGAGCTGCCCCCTCACCCGCGTCGCTGGCCTGGGAGTACGACATCGTCATAACCACCTTTAACCGCCTCAGCTTTGGGAAACCAAACCACCGTACATCGGTTCTGGCTGCGGGCGGTGGATCCGGAAGTCATGGCGGCTGGTCGCAAGTGCTATCGCAGGTGGGTCCAGGATGAAGGTGCGACAACGATGGTGGGTGCAATGAACGAGTGGTTTGTCGGGATGGGTGGGTGCGAGAGAAGGGAAGAGACCACCCCGGCCAGTCGTACAGGTGACCGGGCCCGTGGGTCACTGGGTGGACTGGCCGGGGTGGGTGGGCGGCATCGTGGGGGTGGGGATACGCCGTCGTTGGTGTGTGTGTGTGTGTGTGTGTGTTTTGTGCTGCGTTTTGACGTACGCGTGTCCCCGTCCTTACGACATACATACATACTTGCGTGCAGATTCATTGGCTCCGTGTCATCCTCGACGAGGGCCACCTTCTGGGCGCCTCCACCGCCATCACCAACAAGCTGCAGGCCGCATGTGCGCTGCTGGCGGAGAGGCGCTGGGTCATGACAGGTGGGGCTCCGGGTGCGAGTGTGTATGTGTGTGTATGTATGCGTGTATGTATGTATGTATGTATGTTGTTACAGGGTGGTATAGCTTCAGCAGCGGCTCCCTTTCCCGAGGCAGTTCCCTGCTCTCCGACTTCAGAATGTATTCGTTGGTTTGAGCAACTCACCACCAGCATCCAACCAAATCTAGCGGATCAACGGCGCCACAGCTTAGTTCCTGGTCAGCTCGCAAGTTGATATTATCACGTCCTACATCGTTCATATGATGGGGGGCCACCTCCCATTTCAACACTCCTCAAACACCCGAGGAGCCGGCAGGCGGATTTATGTATGTATGTATGTATGTCCCACACGTCCTTGCTGCACAGCACTTTCCCCGCCCCGTTCCCGCTTCCCTCCGCTGCCCCAACCCGAGCCCCCGAAAGGGCGGTTTTCTTTTCCCGCGGCGCCCTTTCACTCCTCTGCCCCTTTTGCTGCCCTCCCCGGCCCCCCCCCCCCCCCGCGGTCTCCCCGGCTGCCTCACCCCGGGGGGTGTCGTCACACCCAGGCACCCCCACCCCCGCCACCCACGGCAGCAGCGCCGCGCACCTGCAACCGCTGCTCGCCTTCCTACACCATGAGCCGTACGGCACAAACGCAGCCACGTGGCAGGCTGCCGTACAACGACCCTTGGATGCATGCCGACCCGAAGGTCGTCGCCGCCTGATGCGGCTGCTGCGGGAAATCATGATACGGTGGGGGGATCGGGAAGGGGGAGCGGCCCCTTGTTTTTGGGGGGGAGGTTGGGGGGGGGGAGAGCAGGGGGGCGATATGGCATGTACGGTGTTTTAGGGATCAGCACCTTCAGCCAGCAGAGAGTACTGCGAGTATTGTGTGTGTGTGTGTCTGACCCTCGCGTCTGACTGTGTGTGACTGCGGACATCGCAATAGAGAGTCCCGGAGCGGGGGAGGGGTAGGGGGAGGGGAGTAGTCTCACATCCACAACCCGGATGTTGCAGCACTGGGGCTGTAGGGGCACTGGGGCGGTGACTACCGCCAGCCAGCCATTGCGGGTACGTCCTGTTACGTGTGTGTTTGGTGACAGCGATGTCTCCGGTCCTCCCCATCTTCCCCACCTTGTTTCCCATGGCGGCTTACATACATACATACATACATACATACATACGCGGGGTTCATGGCGGTGTGGGTAATCAACCGCAGGGCCAGTAAAGCGGATCTGGTGCTGCTGCCGCGACTTGTACGGAAAGTGACCCTGCTGGACTTTGAGCCGCAGCATGCCAAGTCGTACAATGAATTGGTGGAGGTACGGCAGGGGCAGAGGGAGTTGGTACGGCGTATTCGGGAGAGGGGCTGAGTAGCAAGAGGGCATGACATGGTTTTGAGCTTACCCGCTTTCCAGGCTTTTCTGGGTTCCTCCTCCCTTGCGCTTCCTGAGTACCTTTGGACTGTTACCCGAACTTTTACCTCCCCCACCCTGTTCCCCTCTACATACACAGACAGACAGATAGACAGACAGTCACAGGCAGACAGACAGAAATTCAAACATGCATACACCTCTTGGCGCGATATCTCCAGCACTATTTTTCCCGCGGCTCAATTTATACTTCCGTCACACCCAACCCCGCAAGTCAAATTGACGAGCTCCCCCCTCCCCCGACCCCGCGACACGTTCCAACATACATTCACATACACACACAAACCGTCTGTCTCTCCCCTCCTTCGCCCCTTTGGACGTCGGCAGTTGGTTTTGACTTCTTGCGCCCCCCGCAATCCCCCCGCAATCCCCCCGCAATTCCCCCGCAATCCCCCCGCAATCCCCCCGCAATTCCCCCGCAATCCCCCCGCAATCCCCCCGCAATTCCCCCGCAATCCCCCCGAAATTCCCCCGAATTCCCCCGCAATCCCCCCGCAATCCCCCCGCAATTCCCCCGCAATCCCCCCGCAATCCCCCCGCAATCCCCCCGCAATTCCCCCGCAATTCCCCCGCAATCCCCCCGCAATCCCCCCGCAATTCCCCCGCAATCCCCCGCTCCCTACCGTTTCCCCCCTGGCAGCAGCTTCACTCGTGTGTGGTTCGTCTTTCCCCCCCTTGCTTCCCCCCCTCAGGTTGTTCGTCGCAACCTGCTCACCAGCGACTGGTGCGACGAGGCGCACACGGAGAGCCTGCTCAGTCCGGGGCAGGGCCGCTGGAGCCGACAGATGATGAACAACGTGTGGCTGAGCTGCTGCGTGGCAGGTGTGTGTGTTTTGTGTTGTGTGTGGGGGGGAAAGGGCGGGGGGATGGTGGTTATCTTGGGGTTGGGGGTATGAAAGTGGAGTTAGGGAGGTGAAATGGAGTTGAGGCGGATATGATAAACTGTCAATAACGCATTTCGACGTGTGACTGGTGCATATGTAGATGTGCTGTATTTCCCGTACGACCTTCCTCTTCTCCCCCCCCTCTCTCCCCCCCAAAGGCTCCACCAACAACGTCGTGAAGGAGGAGGACCTCTTGGAGACGTTGCAGCTGCTCTGTGAGCGACTGGGACTGCCCGCACCCCCCGGGGCGCCGCAACAGCCGCCGCTGTCTGGTTCAGGGGGGGGGAGCCGGGCGGCAGCTGGGGGGCCTGGGAGCGCGTCCGTGTCAGTGGGAGGTGTTTTGTCGCTGGGTCCCCCCTGGCTGCCCGGGGATCACCCACTGAAGAGGGTGGAGGAGGGGCTGCGGTACGGCACTGAGTGTCAGGTGCGGGGAGGAAGGGAGGGGGGGTGACCGGGGGATAAGGGCGGGAGGGAAAGAGGAGGGGTGCGGGGGGGTGGGGGGTGGGGTGGGGGTAAAATATTGTCATTAGCAGCACTATTTTAACCTCACAGGCAGACAGACAGACAGACACAGAGGACTCACTCGCTGCTCATGTTGCATGCCCGGCCCCCTCAAACCCGCCAAACATCGGGCCCCAAAAAAGGTGTGCGGTGAGTTCGTACGGCAGCCCATGGTGACCCCATGCGGCCATCTGGCTTGCCTGGACTGTACGGCATCGGACCGGGAGAGGTGTCCGCTACCTTCATGCCGTACTCCGTACTTGATGCAGGTAGGGCAGGGTATGCGAGTGGTGGGGGGTGGGTCGGGGGTTGAGGGTTTGAGCACCAATAGCGTGCTAGAGTGTTGTCCAAACCCCCTGCTGGGAGCGCGGGACCGGCCTCGGGAGAGGGGGGGGGTGAACAGCACTGTAACGATCTAGTTCGTTGGTTTTTGGGTCGGTGGGTTGGTTGCTGTACGACTTGACGTCAGCAGCCGCAACTGCTGTGCGTCTGGTGGGGATAATTTGCCGTCATCATTATCATCGTTGTCATATGATTTCCCCCCCTCCACCCCCCCTCCACCCCCTCCACCCCTCCACCCCACCACCCTACCCCCCCTACCCCCTCCATCCCCTCCTGGGCTTCAGGCGGTGGATGACGCAGCTCGTAAGAAACACAACAAGAATCCAAAATGGCCGGTACCCCAGGTGGGTGTCTGTGTGTGGGTGTGTCGGGTGGGGGCCAAGGGGAATAAGAAGGGGCTCAGGATGTTGTGGTTGTCCGTATGTCATCTATGATGGTCTGACGGTGTGGAGTTGGGGTGCACGGCTTCACCCGGGCCCACCAGCCTGAGTGGGCAGTGCCCCCCCCCCCCTGCTGCCCCCCGGGATGTCCGGGGGCACCCGCATCGCCCTCGTAACCCACCAGTACGGACTTGTGTACCCCCGGTGAAATCGGTGGCTTGGGGGGTTCAGTACCCGCCACCGGCAGAAACTGGTTACATGGAAGAAAACAGTTATATACACAAGAGGCATAATGTTAGTGGATATGCATGTATGAACAGTCCTGTCACCGATTTTTTAAATCTTAGCTTTCCTCGTATTTGGATCTTGATTCCGTCGTACGTGTCTTTCTCCCTTGTTTCTCCCTTCAGGAGCTGATCGAGTGGCAGCCCGTGTATCACCAGCAGAACGCAGTGGGCGAGTGGGGGGAGGGGCGGGAAATGGGCCGGTGTATGTGTATGTGTATGTGTATGTGTATAAGGAGGTGCAGGGGCGCAGTAAGGGGAGGTGGGCGCGTGGAGGGTTGCTGTGATGGTGTGTATGTATGTGTGTGGAGGTGGGGGTGTTTTCCCCCCCGCCCCGGGGGCTAAACTCTTCAAGGGCCCCTTCGGGGTTCTCACTTCACCCCGCCCCTTCACCCCGTCACCAAACACATGTGTACACATACAGACATACAGACATACAGACATACAGGTACTTAAATACAGACATACACCCCCTTTTGAGGTGATTTCGTCGATCTGCTCAGTTTCCAGCATTGCGCCGTCCGCCGCCACTATTACGGTGGTCATCGGGCCGCTCGATTGGGTAAAGTCTGAAGTCTAAGAAAGCATGGCTCTTATGGGAGGCAGAAAGAGCGGTGCGGCCCGCCCCGCCGTACGACGAGGGGTCCAGGGCCGAACGGTACGACATGACACGTGTTCTGCGCTGCGCGGATCCGTGCCCGTGTGTATTTTTGCTTACATATGATCTCTTCCCCCCACCACACCAACACACACACTACACCCATGGCCGTTTCCCTTTCGCGGCTCAGTTCATGAAACAAACCCCCCAAACCCCCCACCCCCAACCCCCCCGACCCCCAGGTAGAAGTGGTGGCACGTGGTCGGCCACGTGGCAGCTCACCACCTCCTCAAAAGTACGACACATGCTCAAACGACTGAGGGAAGTAGGGGCGGCACCACCGCCACCGTTACCACCACAGCTACAGCCACCTGCAGCAGTAGCGGCAGCTGCAGCTGCAGCGGGAGATCACCTTCCGGAGGTACCGCAGCGGCTACTGCTGCAACAGCGGCCGCCACCTCCACCGCCACCGCTACCTCCGCCGCCATCATCACCCTCGTGTTCCCGGCAGCCGCATCTAGGACAGTCGGAGCCCGGGTCACCGCCGCCACCGCCACAGCCGCAGCAGCCGGCGATGGCCCCAGCAGCAGCGCCAGCAGTAGCAGCAGTAGCCGGGGTGGATGCTGGCGGGGGCCCAGCGGAGGTGGCTACCCCCGCCCCCACCCCCGCCACCCCCCTCAGGGAGCAGCTGGTCACCGGTGAAGACGTGGACGGAGGCGACGAAGGCGGCAGTGCAGGAGGAGGGGTAGGAGGGGGAGGAGGCGGCCCCAGCGGTCCCCCGGGTCCCCCCACAGCACCCGGACTGGATGTCGGCGGGGGGGAGGCCGCCGGTGCCGCTGCTGGTGGCGCCAATGTCCGGGGAGGCGGCGTTGACTGCACCGTCACGAGTAGTGGTGGTGGTGCCAGTGGTGGTGGTGGTGGTGGTAGCAGTGCATCCGCATCAGGGCCCAGGTGGGGCGTGCGGCTCCCGGTTCGCAGCAAGGCCATTGTGTTCACCCAGTACGGGGTCCACCTGCAGCTGATTGAGTCCAGTTT